GAGTGGAAGGCTGTAGTTTCTCATATCAATGAGCCCACGAAATCGAGCAGAACGCGCAACGTCTACTCTGTTTTCGAATTGAACTTGTTACGGAATTGAATTGTTTTATTTCTACTTTCCATTCTAATTATAACTTGTGCTGGTAATTGTTAAAAATATTCAGTAAAATTCTTAATACATTAACACTTCAAACTCAAACATTATAATTCACTTTTGAAAATTAAACTGACCAAACCACGGAGACCTACCAACATATAACTTTAAATAAAGGACAGGGATAATTTTAGGAACTTATTTCTGTTTTTGTATTTGTTATATATGTATGTTATATTTTGTATATATTTAGTAACTTAGTGTAGTTTAGTTTTTTAGTTATTAAGTTAGTTAGTTTGGATCGTTAGTTTCTTTGGATACTGCCTTCTTTCTTATTTTCAGCATATGGTGTTTAATATAGCGTTTATACGGGACTGCAGGAATAAGAGTGTACCTACAATAGGCACATAATTGGAATAAATTGCAATTATGGAATCTTTTGAAGCAGGTATGAAATACAATAATTTAATTTTTACTTTGGTTCTACTTCTTCTTTCTTTTTTCCCCCTTATTGCTATTGTATTGTAAATCTGGATCTTAAAATTTGTACTTTTTATTTAGGTCCATCGGGGATTAACCTTCTTTGCCGCAGAAAATTAGTGGACCTCATGTTCCGACAAGTGGATTCAACTTTTCAAGATAAATTGAATTACGTGGAAAATTACGTCGTTATGAGAATTATACGGAAGACCAAATTAAAGATATTAGATACAGATTTTCGCACGTAAAAAGTGTACTTAAGCAGAAGTGGATTCAAGCTAGACGTAAAAGCGACAGATTTTACGCAAACAACAAGAATTGGTTAGATGGCACATTTGAATTGCCAAAAATTACAGGCCGATCGGGTCGACCATCGAAATCATTCGAAGAATCAAGTGACAGAACGAAGAGGAGAAAAGCCGCAGAGCTTCGAAGTATCATAAATACGGACGAAATAGTTTTTACTGCTCAAATGAAGTTGTAATCTTCGGGAAAACGAATTGCTTCGGCATTACTTAGAGAAGTCACTCGTTCTCCTAAGCGAGCTAAGAAATATAAAGCTGTTTATTCAAAGCTAGAGCAGAAAAGTAGTGAAAAATTATCACCATTGAAAGCTCTATCGACGTTTGTTGAAGCCGGGTTTTCAAAACGACAATATTTAATTGCCAGGAATGCAAATAAAGAATTGTATCCATCGTACAATACCATAATCCAAGAGAAGACGAATTGCTACCCAGAAAAGCATTCATATCGAATAACATCGACTTGCGTTGAAATAAATCTTCAAGACTTATTAAACGTTACTTTATTAAACGTAAAGACTTACTTGTTATTCATGACAAAGAAAAAAAATACGTTTTGTAGATTTATGTCAATTATACACACTCTGAAAATTTCATCGAAATCGGCGGATGAAGAAACAAGCAACAGGCATCGAAAGATGTAAGAATCTGCAGATTTATTACAGTTCTAGGCCGAAAGTCGTGAAGTAGTACGATTTTCACAATCTTTAATCGTTTGTAGCTCATAGCAACATTAACCGATTTCGATGAAATTTTCAGCGTGTGTATAATTGACATAGATCTACAAAACGTATTTTTTAGATTTTCATTACGAGCTCAGATAAAAAAGTTGTAAAAACGACCTTCGCTATTTTCTTCGCGATTCCGACTAATTGTAGTTTTTTCACAAATTTATACAAACGTCGAAATGACGGCAAAAAACTATTTCTCTAAGCCTTATAAAAATAGCGATGCCGGCGGATAATCCAGCCGTTCTCTCCTCCAGAGAGTGACCCAGATGTCAGTCCCCGTACTCTCCTGTGCTGTAAGGGTGTCCGAAAGCTAGGCTTCGTACTCTCCCACTCTGAAGGGCGACCGATGGTAATACCTCGTTCTCTCCCAGCAGAGTACAGCAAGAATGCTCTCGAATGCGTCCGCGGCCGCTATACTTATTGTTCCGTCGCGCAGGTACGGAACGCATGGGGTCTTCGTTGACCGGGTTTATGGCACGCTCGCACGAGAAGGTTATTTTTGAGAACAAAGACGCTTCGTAGCTCCGCGAAAAAATAAGTAATTTCTTACAGAACAATCCGTCCTCAATAACTGAAGACATGTCATAAACCAGGTATTACTGAAGGGTCAATCCACACGCGCGTATAACGGCACATTCGGCCGAGGGTTGACCTGGCGGGAATTTCCGACGCGTCACCGAAGGACAGCGAAGATTCCACGCACCCGCAGCTTCCAAGGAAAAGCGCGCTAAGGGCGCAATGGGTGACACTCAAGGCTTGTGCTTTCGTGAAAAACCAATCAGCGTGCCTTCTTGCACTTGGCGGGGGAGTCACGGCGACTCCGGTAAATTTTCGGGACTCGAGACGGAGTCACTGCGAACTCCAGAAAAATTCGGGAATCGAGCGAGAGATTCAGAAAAGGTTCCATCGAGCGAACACCACTAGATCTCCAACCGTTCGAGGAGACACAACACATTCGAAAAATTCTCTCGTGTGAACAAGATACTCTCTCCAGCCGTTCAAGTACAATTCGAATCAAGTCGTCAATCGTTCGTGACGCACTGTACGTTTTGCTAACGTTCGAGCAAAGTAGATTTTGAACTAGTTACCCAAGATTAATTTGGCGGGTAACAAGTCGT